TCCTCGGTCGCGTAATGCCCGAGGCACACCAGGCGCGGTCAGCCCGCCTGCGTCATGTTCCTCGGCCGCGTACTGCCCGAGGCACACCAGCGCGGTCAGCCCGCCTGCGTCATGCTCCTCGGCCGCGTAACGCCCGAGGCACACTAGTGCGGTCAGCCCGTCGGCGTCTAGCTCCTCGCCCGCAGAATGCCCGAAGATCCCACCTGCGTAAAACAAACTCTACCGTATGTCATCTGAGTTAAAGCCATGCCTCGTGCTCCCTCACCCGACTGCCGTCCCCGACGCATAGCTTCTTCCGGGGGGGGGGGAATATGATATGGGAAATAATGGCGACGTGACGTGTCACGTCGAAAGCCCCACGTGGGTGCCACTCTGCCCAATGAGGAGAGCCATAACGCTGATTCGACTTGCGTTAGCAACCCCCGCTATCAGGCAACGGCTTCCAACCCCGCACGATTGACCATGGCAGGGTAGGATGACTACCGACCCTCGCCCATACCCTGCAACGCTCCTGTCCTCCACGCAACGTCAGTAACGATGTCAGACGCCATCAGAGGTGCGACCCTGCCTCACACAGGTGGGCACACCAGGAAACGATAAGCTTCCCTACAAATACCCTCTCTTTCATTAGGAAAAGGGGAGGCGGGACACACCCTAAAAGTACTACTTCTCTGGAAACCCCCTCTCCGTCTTTCGCTAACTTGATCGTCGGAGGGGTCGGGTCGAGCCTCCGACCCGACCAGTGTGCAGGTGCGAGACGAGGTTGCCTCTTCCCAGACGCTGCGGCAGAGCTCACCCCCTGACGGGACATCCAGATCACCACGGTCGGCCACCCGAAGGACCCGAGGCACGCCACGCAAGATCCCCGCCATTCGGACTCCTGAACCAGCCGCGTCGACCCCGAGGTCACGGCTAAAAAAGTTATTTACCATAACAAGGGTCATTTGAATGGTTTTGTAACTTGAGGACAAGATGACACCATGTCCGCATCTAGATACCAAAAGACATGAGATAGAGAACAGTCTCAAATTACAAAGAGATTGAAGATTGTGATGATGTTCAATCGTGGTTACTTTGACCGGTTCAAGAGTATGATAGAAGCCGATAAGTATGGAGACCCAAACAAGTCAACATAAACTTTTGTATTTTTTTAAGGTAAACAAACATAGATCTGTACAATTACATACATGTGATACAAGATGAACAGATTCAACTGGAACAAAGACAGCAAGTCTATGAAGAATGAGACCAGTTGACGTATGGGAATAACAAAGGATACTTGGCCAATCAGCAGCAGAACCTTCACATGCCATTTAGATCCAAGAGTGGGCAGGAAAATTCTAGTAAAATGTGACTGTGACACTAATTCTTATGACTTCACCAACCCATTCATTGGAGTAGCTGCAAATAATGAATGATACAGTAGAGAGAGAGAGAGAGGGAATGCATTGATAAAAGAGTCCTCACAAAAATTTCAATAGTAGAAAATCATCTTATCAAAATATAATTATACGTACAAATTGATGTGGTGGAATATTCGTGAATTTTATCCTAATTTACAAACTCAAATAATATTTAAATATTCAAATTTAATTACATTATCTATTTTATTAATTAATCTGATTTAAATGGGTTGGATTGAGATGAGTGTCTAAATATACCCGACTAACGTATTTTTCTTATTTATGTCCTTATTTTTTAAGTGGGTCGGATCGGAATGGATATTTCAATAAAATCCGACCCGTTATCGTTTACATGAGCAAATCATTGCGTGGGTTTCACTGTAAAGGTATCGAGCGCCTACTCAGTCGGTGGGAGTTACGACATCACTTTCCTCCACCCGCCGACATCTGCAATCATCTCCTTCATTCTGCCTCGTCTTCTCGTCTCCGCCCGCTCGCATTCCCGATTCCTCCTCCTCCTCCTCCCCGGTTTCCCATGGCGAGGAGGGACTCACCCCCGGCTTCCCCCTCCCCCTCCTCCTCCGACGACGAGGAGGAGGACCGCCGGACCCTGGTCCCCCAGAACGACTCCACCGCCGCGGCAAAACCCTTTCACCGCCGCCGATTGTCGTACCCTGCTTTCGAGATCTCCGGAGACCTCCCCGCCCGCGTCGGCCGCCGGTTGTGGTCCAGCAAGCACTACCTCCTCGCCGTCTCCCTCCCCTTGCTCCTCGTCCTCCTTTTCTTCTCCTTCGATCTCGGCCGCCTCTTTCGGGGCGTCTCCGTCATCCCCGTCGCCTCCTCCTCCTCTTCGTCCGTTGCCGGCGACCGGATGCGGGAGGCCGAGCTCCACGCTCTCTATCTCCTCAAGAACCAGCAATCTGAGCTTCTGCGGCTTTGGAATCTTACTGTCTCCGCAGCCACAGCCACCGCCGATGCTGCTTCTTTTCCTTCTCCTCCTTTCTTGGCTCCAAATTCCACTTCGTCTCCGAATTCCACCACATCTCGCAAGGTCGATCGACCAAATGCCGCAATTCCGGCGTCGACCATGGATGAGTTCAGATCTACGCTGATCCGGCAGATCAAGCTGAACAAGCAGATCCAGGGGGCGCTGCTCTCGTCTCACCGGTTGGGGAATCTTTCGTCGGAGGCCCTGGACGAGAATGGTAGCTTCGACGTATCTGGTCCTGGCACCGGTGTGTGCAGGAAGGTGGATAGACCTGCCGGTAGGAGGACGATCGAGTGGAAGCCGAAGAAGGACAGATTCTTGTTCGCGATCTGCTTGTCGGGTCAGATGTCCAACCATTTGATCTGCTTGGAGAAGCACATGTTCTTCGCGGCGCTTCTCGACCGCATCCTGGTCCTCCCGAGCTCCAAGGTGGATTACCAGTACGACCGGGTCTTGGATATCAATCATATCAACGAGTGCTTTGGGAGGAAGGTCGTGATCTCGTTCGAAGAGTTTGCAGAGATGAAGAAGAACAAGATGAGGATCAATAGGTTTATCTGCTACATTGCATCACCACCTTGCTATCTGGACGAGGAGCACGCTAAGAGGTTGAAGAACTTGGGGCTTTCACTTGGGAAGATTGAGGCTGCTTGGCCTGAGGATGCCAAGTTGAAGACACAAAAGAAAAGGGTTGTTGGAGACATTATGCCCAAATTTGCATCAAATGATGAGGTGATTGCCATTGGAGATATGTTCTATGCTGATGTGGAAGAAGAGTGGGTAATGCAGCCAGGAGGCCCGCTTGCTCATAAGTGCAAGACGGTGATCCAACCAAGTCGGCTCATTTATCTCACAGCACAGCGGTTCGTGCAGACTTTCTTAGGGAGCAACTTCATAGCCCTGCATTTCCGTCGACATGGGTTCTTGAAATTCTGGTAAGTTGACTGTTATTGTTCCACTTCCAATTTTCTTTGAAAGCTTAACTAGAATTAAGCATCTTGTGGCATATGGTGTAGTTGTGAGCTTGAAAAGTGTGTCATGCTGTTGACTCTTTCGTAGGTGAATTATGGTAACTGGTCCTTGGTAACCTCAGCGATCGATGCGTAGGTTATTTTGATCATATGTTGTTTTCAGAAGCTTATGCTGCTTTCTACTTCTTTACATTGATTTTATATTTCTTGCAATCTGGTAGAGTAAACTTAGATGATCATCGTAGTTCAATTGTCCTAAAGTTGATATTTTTCCTTATCTTCCAATATAATGCTGGTTACTCAATAATAATCTGCATAGAATACAACCCTAGTTTGCGTGGCAATTTTTTCAAACCAGTGGATCTGGTTACATGAGAGCACATATACAGTATCGATCCTAGTTAATGGCAGATATTATCGTAAGACAACATATTTCACAGAATTACTTATAAGAGCGAACACAAGTGTCATCAAATGGACTTTTTTCTCATAAGAAAGCTAGATAAAGTTATTTGTAACAATTGTAAAATGATACCCGACGAAAGTTTGATGAATTAACATAGGTTGATGGTATTAAATATTTATTATAGAAAATAAAAAGGAAAAAGATAATGAAAAATTTTACTAGGACTAGATGGGGAAATTTTAAAGATGATAATATAAGTACTTTTAAGAATAAGATGAAAAAGGAGACGACTTGGAATTTAGATGAGGATAATATTAATATTATTTGGACTATGATGACTAATAAAATTAGAAGATTAACAAAGAAGACTCTTAGTGAAGCTAAAGGTAGAGGTGCAAACTTAAGAGAGGATTAATGGTGGTGCAAAGAAATTCAAAACACACTTTTTACCAAAACATCATGTTTCAAAGATTGACAAAATTATATAAATGAGAAAAAACTTAAAAGATATAAAGAATCTAGAAAAGAGACTAAAAAAGCAATTAGTATGATAAGATATAAAACTTATGATAATTTTTATAATAAATTAAGTACTAAGGATGGGGAAAAAGATATATATCGAATTACTAAGGCTAAGGAAGTGTAAGGATTTGGTTAATATCAGATGCATTAAAGACGAAGATCAAAGAATACTTGTTAATGATAATGAGATTAAGGAAAGATGAAAAAATATTTTTTATAAATTATTTAATGAATATTTCACATAGGACTTAGATTTAATGATAAATAATAGTGATATATTTAATAATCATAGATTTATTCATAAAATTAGAGCTAATGAAATTAAAGACACATTAAAGAAGATGAAAATAGCTAAGAGTATAGGGCATAATTGTATCCCTATTGAGGTTTAAAAAAGTTTATGGGACAAGAGAGTGGCTTGGTTAATTAGCTTATTTAACAAGGTCATGAGATTGGAAAGGATGCCTGATGAATGGAGAAAAAGTTTTTTAATGCCAATTTACAAAAAATAAGGGTGACATACAAAATTGTTCAAATTATAAAAGAATTAAAATCATGATCCATATATGAAACTTTAGGAAAGAGTTATCGAAAGTAGGATAAGGCTTGAAACAAATATATCTAAAAATCAATTTTATTTTATGCTTAGAAGATCAACTATGAAAGTTATTTATTTATTAAGACAATTAATGAAAATATATAGAAAGAAAGAGAAAGAGTTTCATATTGCATATGATTTTTATTGACATAGAGAAAGCCTATGATAGGATTCCTAGTGGGTTTTAGAAAAAAAAGATGTATCTGCTAATTATATTGATGTTATTAAAGATATGATTGATAATATAGTTACTAGTGTTAGAACTATAGGGAGTGTGTCTATTGAGTTTTCTATTAGCATAGGACTACACCAAGGATTCAAATTAAAGTCTCAACTTATTCATATTAATAATGGATGAGCTTACTAGTCACTTACATGATAGACCTTCATGGTGTATGTTATTTATTAATAATATTATTTTAGTTGATGAGGGCTTAAGTGGAATTAATTATAAACTTAAACTATGGAGGCAAGCTAAGAAATTAAAGGTTTTAGATTAAGTAGGACTAAAACTGAATATATAATATAATTTTAGTAATTATAGAAATAAAAAAGAGAATATAGTTAAATTGAATGGACAAAAAGTCTCTTTAAGTAAAAGTTTTAAGTACCTTGAATTAATTATTCAGCAAGATGTAGAGATCAATGAAGATATTATTTATAAAGTAAAAATAGGATAGTTAAAATGATGACCGGCGTCAAGAGTCTTGTATGATCATTGAATACCTTTGAGATTAAAAGAAAAATTTTATAAGACACTTGTGAGACCAACAATGCTTTATGGATTTGAGTGCTTAATAATTAAAAAAAAACATATACCAAATTTTTATGTTGCCGAGATGAGAATGTTGAGATGGATGTGTCAAGTCACTAGGAAAGATAGGAAAAAAATAATTTTATTCGTGAACAATTATGTATCGCTTCGATTGAGGATAAGATGAGAGAAAATTATTTAAGACGGTATGAGTATGTGCTGAGTAGACCTTCGAATGCAGTAGTCAGAAGAGGTGAAATAATTAATTTTGGTGATACTATGAGAGGTAGAGGAAGACCTAAAAAGATTTTAATGAAAATTATAAATAAAGATTTAAGTATTCTAAACTTAATTAAATATATGACATCTTACAAATCTCAATGGTGACAAAAGATCCATGTAGCCGACCCTAAATAGTCGGAACTTATGGTTTTGCTGATGTTGTTGTTGTATAACATATTTGATGGAGTTTTTGAGAATTTCTCAGGAAAGCATAGTTTATTGAACTATAACTTCACTTTACTGCATCGTAATGAACAAATCAATCATTTTGAGTATTTAATTCTCACATTGAAAGAAAGTAATGGCTTTAGTGAATATGAAGTGAAACGTGATTGTGGTAGCATCATGAATAATTGATGTTATCATGATACTAGGATTAATGTAAATCACATCATATATAAGGCTTGCATTGTGGATGTGATGCCATAAACTTAGGGAAGTAGATCTCAAATATCACTCATTAGGAAATTCTTGTTGGCAATTATTTGGCATGGACAAGTAACTTGGTGATGATTATTTGGCATGGACAAGTAACATTAATCCTAGTATATCATGATATTAGGAGTAAAGTAAATCACATCATATATAAGGTTTGCATTGTGCATGTGATGCCATACGCTTAGTGAAGTAGATCTCAAACATCACTCGTAAGGAAATTCTTGTTGGCAATTATTTGGCATGGACAAGTAACTAACAAACACTTCTCTCTGAAGTTGCAAATAGATTAGGGACGGGAGTCTTGACCCTCAACCTTTCAGCTCAATCCAAATTCAATCCACTTAACATGATCCAATGGGTGTATGGATTGGATCCAAGTTAAAAGATCTTGACCCGCTCGCCAAATTGTGTTTATATCAAGTATACATTTCTTCTGTTTTTCAAATTGACCTGGAATTTTGGTTGAAAAATAATTTATGATATGCTTTGACCCTTGGACCCAACCGAGTTCAGCCCACTGTTTGTATGGGTCAGGTCCATATTAAGGAATTGACGATAATTTAGTGTATATTACTCAATCTAGCTCAGACTCAGCAACATACATTCTCTTGTGTGTTAATTTCACACATCTTCAACATTTTGCATAGGGGTTACAAAGAACTCAATGGCTGTAGTCTCTTCTAAGAGTGATCAATCTCATGTAGTGATGGTTTATATCACAGTCATAAATCTTCAAAAGCATGTTCTGTTGCTTTCTTCCGCTGATACTTTTCAGTTCTCCAGTTGGGATTTGTGTAGTTTTAGCTTCTGCAGAACTGAGAAAACCAGAGGTGTATGTTAGATTTTGTGAAATTTCTGAATCTTAGTGGTAAAGTGAAGAAAGTGATGATCTTCTGACCTTTGTTTCCAATAATTGCCTGCAGCAATGTGAAAAAGGAGAGTTGCTTTTTCCCCGTTCCTCAGGCAGCAGAGTGTATACTGCGGACTGTTGAGAAAGCCGATGCCCCAGTTATTTATCTATCCACAGATGCAGCTGAGAGCGAAACAAATCTTCTCCAGTCATTAGTTGTGTTAAATGACAAGCAAGTTCCACTGGTCAAGAGGCCAGCTCATAATAGTGCTGAAAAATGGGATGCCTTGTTGTACAGAAATCGGCTAGGAGGAGATAGTCAGGTGAACCTTTTTGCTTGGATGTTTCAAACATGAAACTATAAAAAGATAAGTTAATATTTCTTTGTACTCCACATATTCATGTATTTGATCGAGTCTCTTATTGCCTGCAGGTTGAGGCCATGCTGGACAAGACAATTTGTGCTTTGTCTACCGTTTTTATTGGATCGTCAGGTTCAACATTCACAGAGGATATCATTAGACTTCGTAGAGGCTGGGAATCTGCTTCCCATTGCGATGAGTACCTTTGCCAGGGTGAGCTACCAAACTACATTGCTGAGAACGAGTGAAAGGAGACCCGTTCTATGCTGCACATTGTGACTTGTTTCGCAACTGCAACCATCCTTGTTCCTGAGTAATTCCCTGTACATTGATGTGTGAATCCGAGCATTTGGTTTTTACTGGCCTCCATATGTTCGACAGAAACCAAAACTATGAGCATTTTGTCATCTCGACAAAGATCTGTTTTTGGGTTAGCTGAGGAAAAGCTTTTGTAAGCTGATGAAGGATGAAAACTACTGTGTCTGCCAACCTGATGTTTATCAGAGTGCCCAGTAATGGAGTTGTTAAGAACAGTTTGTATGCAGTGAAATCATGTATTCCATTTGTTCTCTTACAACCGAGTAGATAGTGAGATCTTTCTTCTATTTGTCCTGCATGTTTGTCATGGCATACCCAAAGCTTGAAAGAACAGTGTGTGCATTCGATTCAGCTATTATTGCTTCTTCTTTGTTTTCCGCGAGAATTGCTCGGGGCAAAGCAAGCTCAAGTCCTTGTTGGGGTTTTTTGTTTTGTTTTGACAAATATGTTGTTCAATTGATCAGCAAAAATAGAGAGAAAAAAATAACGATTAGGGAGTTTTTCGAAAATTCCTATTTCTATCATTTATGCCGGTTTAGACCTTAAGGTTTACCCGATCATAGTATGGTGGTAAGGGGTTTACGCCACACTGGGTGGGGGGGGGTGTAAGTGAACACATAGTAGTATATTTTGGGGCCTTAAGCGAATATAAGGATAATTCAATAAGTAGGGACCTTTCAGAAAACTGTCCGGTTTGGAGGTTGAACCGCTAATTCAATTAGACCATCCCATAATGAGGTCCTAATCGATAAAAAGTTTGGAGATTTTCGAGGAAACTTCCGGTTTAGACGTTGAACCGGTGAATGCTATTTTGGGGCCAATTCGGGTTTTATTGAGGCCTAATCGATAAAAAAAGACAAGTATTAGGGGGCTTTTCAGAAAATAAGAGCCCATTTCAATCCGCTCATCGTCAGCGTTTCCCAGTTCGCCATCCGTTGGTGTGGATGGCAGCGATCTCTACCTCCGTCGCCTCATCTTCCTCTCCCGCCCTCAAGCAGCGCATGGTAATCTCTCTCTCTCTCTCTCTAGCCGCCTATTCTAAGTTGCTTCCCCTAGCGCAGCGATCGCCCACCTTTCGCTGCTCGACCTCTCGGCGTGATGGGAAGAGAGCCCCGCCGCTGTTGCAACTGGCCGTCGGTGGCGTCACGGAGATCCTCAGGCTCCTCTCTCCCAAGAAACAGAGGTCAGCAGCGGCACCACGTTTCCTCCCATCACCATATCTTGCTCATGATCGCAACCTTGTGGCAGAGATGAGGCGAAAGCCGCGGCGCAAGCACCTTCTTTGGCTCGTAGCGTAGATGACGTCGTCCGAATTCTTCGAGCGGATTATGATCGTGCTTATTTCCTTACAGGTAATAAGATTAGGTAATTTCTCCCTTGAATATTCTCGAAAATTCGAATCTGTTTGTCTTGGTTCTGTTTTGCATGAAATCCTTAAACAAGAACTAAGAAGTGTTGATGTGCATTCGATATTATTGATGAGTAGAGGGTGCAATGAGGTTGTATTAGCATGTGTAAATGAGTAGATCTGCTGTTTCAAACTTGCCAAACTGACCCTATTGGAACCATTGACAGGTTTCTCCAAATACAAAATATTAAACTGTCATCTGTACGAATAATATGTTCTTTATCCGTACAGTGATTTGTATGGTAAATTGAAGATAAATTGGGAACACAGTAAATCAAGATGATGCCACCACAGAGGTGTGATAGTAAAGGAAATAGTAAAACTAGCATGCCTACAAAGAATAGGAACTTCCCACCTCACATCTTTTGGTGACTTCTCTGTTTCTTGATTGTCTCCACGATTGCTAACTTGTAGATTTAGTGAAAGTATGCAAAACTTTCGACCAGCTTGGGAGATTCTTTACCTAATAGGAGTATCAATATTTTTCAATAGGTCTTTTGTCCATTGTGATCATGTCTTCTTCACAGGAAGTATCAAATTTTTAACAAATAAGAATTTGAACTCCTTAAGATGCAAGCCCTGGTTCTTTGTCATATCTTGCTAAACAAAACAACATATGTTTATTTATTTATTTTTCCATTTCAACAACTCATCTAAAAATTTCTCCTGTGAATACGTTATAACGTTGTGCAAAGACTCTTACAATCTAGTCATTCTTTTGCATAAAACAAGAGCGCTATAGTATTGCGGCTTGTTAAGTTCGAGAAAACAACTAATACCATCTCTGAATAATAGGGGAGTTCACCTCCGACATATATGCCGATGATTGCTTATTTGAAGATCCTACAATCAATTTTCGTGGTATGTTATTTGCTAACATATTTCTCTTGATATGTATTTCTCCTTTATTTTCAATTAAATGTTGGAATGCAATATGCTTATGTGGCCTTACAATGTAAGTTCATTAATCCTCTGTTGCTTAGATCTATTGATTTAAAGAAAAAATAGTACTTATAATTTTAGAAGAATTTTTTTATTGGATGATTGTTGTCAACATTATCTCCACTAAAATGATAAACCTCAACATTCAAGAACTTATGGCCTTTCTTGTTCTAGAAAGAAGAAGAAAAATAAAATAAATAAAAGTTTGTAATCAAATTCTTTTCTCTTGGTAATTTTGATACAGTCTCTTATATTTCATTCTTTTCTCATGGATCCAACTTCTGTTACATTATACAATTTCTAATTTCAACTTTAGTGGAGTCCAATTTTCATTTGATTCACACTTTCAGCTTTAAAGTTTATGATGCAATAAATCAATTTCATCTTCAGTTATCTTTTATATTTAATACTATTATACTTAGGATTCAATCAGAGTGACTTATTGATTCAGGAGAACCAAATTTCAACAAGGATAATGTTCTACTTCCACAAAGAAATTCTTTATCAAGAGCTTGGTAGATGTCTTTATCAGGAGATAAACAAACATAAGGCTTCCTTATTAATTTGACAGATATGATTAAGTTTTGTTATACTTTGATAGATTTGTAACTTTTCTCAGATCCTCATTTTACAATTGTTTTTGTTATTAACTTTGACATGGTGATAGCCACCACCATCTTTGTAGTTTTCTTTTCCTTAAATATCTGGCTCTAAATCTTATATGTGAAACCTTTCGACGAATTTCAGAAAGTTTTTATTATTATTTCATTAAGTTCCAGTTGTTTTGTCTTCAGTCGCTTTGAAAGGTCAAATATAATGATCTTAGGTACAAGAAATTTTCTAAAATTCAAAACCTTTCATCTGGTTGACTCAAGGACTTGATAATAGGTAACATATAATGCTGAGTTTTGAGTTAACTTGGTGAGTTCTTGAGTCAAAATGAGTTCTCTAGAATTCTTGTGTGAAGGTTTAGCAGATGGATCCAGTTGTTCTCCTCTGCCAAATAATTGTTTCAAATTGTAACTGTAGTATCTAGATCAGTTTGATAAAGAATACTCTTTGTTCTTCACCAAATAGTAATACTTAGAGACTCAGCAAGTAGAAAAAATTCTAACTATTTATTCTTGTTCTGGCTAGGCAGGGACCGGTACTCTCAGAATCTGGACTTGCTCGTTCCTTTCTTTGATCGCCCATCCCTTAAACTTGAGAATATCGAGAAGGTATATTTATTTTGTCAATTTAATGCCTAAGACCATGAATTCGACACCCTTCAATATCATTCACTATATATAATGTACAAAATTTATTGCTTGATATTAGATAAAAAAAATTAGGATTGCACATTGTTTAAAGGTATTAGTAATGAGCCAGAATTCTTAGTAGACTGTGGACAAATCTTTTTTGCAACTATTCTTCCTGCAATGATTTGGGGGCTCGCCCATCCTCTTTACCTGCACTATCTCCGATGCTTGTATAACACACAAAAAAAAATATTTAAATGTTTAAGTAATCAATAAAGTGGCAAAATTTTGATCCTTGCTCTGTTCATGTCATTTGATCATTGTCAGCATGAATGTTAAATTGTCTAATTCACCTGAAATTTTTAATGTCATGCCTATTGGATATTTGTATATTTAGTAATAGTTTTGGCCTTCTTAATAATAATGATTTCTTTTTGAAAGGTCAGTACTTTAATTCTTAGCATGCTATAATGGACTAGGTTTAGGTATCCAATCTAGCATCTGGTTTTGGTGCTTCAAACCAAGGTTCGTAATTTCGTATTGTACCAGAGTATCGAGCTCAACTCGGTACAGTACGATACGAGTATACTGAGCGGTACGCTTTGGCATATCGTTCGGTATATATATATATATATATATATAATCATAGTATGCAATTTTGAATGGTACCGCCCGGTACGAGCGGTATGTATCGGTCCGACGGTATACCGGTACACGGACCGCCCGCTACCGGACGGAATATGCTACAGTGTAGCAGTGTTGCAGTGTTACAGTAAAAGAAAGAAATATATAAAACCGCTTGGTACGCCTTGGTGTACCACTCTGATACGCCCTGGTGTACCGCTCGGTGCACGGTACTGTACCGTACCGAGCCAATCTCGAAACACTTGTACGGTACAGTATTACATACCTTATATATAATAATAATAATATTAAAAAATATATATAAAAAAGGAAGCCTCGTTTCTTCTCCCCGTGAAGCCTCAGCGACGTCATCGAGGCTTCTTCTCTCCGTGCGGACATGGAAAAGTCGCCGACGATGTCGAGGCCTCATCGCCTCAGACGAGGAAGAGGCGACATCTTATCTATGACGTCCGGCGAGGGAGGGTGACGGCGGATCGGGATCGTCGAGGGAGAGCGACGCTAGATCTACAGGTTCTCCATTTTCTTTTCCCTCTTCTTCCTTCTCCCTCGGCTAATACCGTCCCATAGTGGGCGGCGATGGTCGAAATTGATCGTCACCGACCGATTACACATGGTAATAGGGCGGAAACAGCCCCAATCGATGGTACCACCCGGTAGTGGGCGGTCCACGTACCGGTCTACTAGCTGACCGGTACATACCGCTCGGTACAGGCGATATTATTCGAAATTAAAAACCCAGCTTCAAACACAAGAATGTGGAACTCAACAGCCTACATAGCTCTTACTTGATTTGATCAATTTTCTTTTCCTATATCAAGATACTTGATTTTTACAGTAAAGCTGGTTATTTAAGATATTTATAGGGTTGTGTTCTATTTGCTCTCTGACAAAGTTTTGTTCTTATTGATTGGTAATAAAAGCTATCTTAAGAAGGTCTCTGTTTCTACTCAAGAAATATTGGAACGTTACTAAAGAAACCTTTGTTGTTGGCATGATAATATATATTATTCTATATGACAAGCCAAACACTTTTTTTACGTATTTACAATTGGCCCAATATGGATTTTTAGATCTCAACTTCTGCAAATAGCTGAAGATGATCAGTATTTCGTATCTGGGCAAAGGAAAGATCTCGAATAGTTTTATTGTCAAGATTCAAAATGTAGTGTTCATAGCTGAATGCTTGCCAAAAAATATTTTGCAACCTTTCCTCTCTGTAGATTGCAAAAGCTGGCATGTATATACAGAATGATGTGTAGTATTGATTTTCAAAATAGGATCAACTCTGCCTCAGTGGCGAAGAATCTATAGCAATTTACTTTCTAGAGCAACTGTTTTGAGTATTAAAAATGAGTACTATTTACAAACATGAACTAGTTTTGTTTTTTCTCATGTTCATGATGGAGACAGATAAGATCTTATTCGTTTGTTTATCATTATGATGATTTATTGTTTTCTTATGTAGGGTCAGAATTATGAAATGAACTTCATTCTGGCAACATGGTGTCTAAGGTACTTAAACTTTTCCCAAGTTTTCTTCTTCTAGGCATCTGATACTTGACAACTACCTAATCAAATTTCTATTGCTATTTAGCACACGCAATATTGCGATCCTGTGACCAATATCGTGGCTATTTAACACTTGCAATGCAGATTCTTGGCTGATTCCAACCAATTCCAGTTGCTTGTGTTCAACTCCTGGCATATACCCGATTTCCCGGAAAATATAGGATCACTCTCAGTCGATCTTGATCAAAAATCGAAACTGGTCCAGTTTGCAATATGCTTTAGGGGGCCCAGGACTGGTCCAATTAGACTATCAGGCCTTGACTTCTATAGAATATTAAATATATAGGATGTTGAAGGATTCATTATGTCATCGAAATTTTGCATGGTAACATAAACTTAATGCTTAATGTTTCTTTGCTAAGTTTTTAATCATATCCTAAAAACCAAAACATCCCAAAAGCATATCTTCAGAAAGAAGATAATCTTTAGTTTCTGTTAGTTTAGCTGGTTCAATTACTGTACTTTCTTTTTAAAAAAAATTGTATTACTTCCAAAGAACTTACTTTTAAGTTTTTCTTCTTTTATTTCATAATGCCCAATTTGCAGGACCTATTTAAAGTTACCTTGGAGACCTCTCATTGGTATTAGAGGAACAACCACATATGATTTAGGTGAAGATTTCAAAGTAAGATGCGATAATTCTTTGTCCATGTATTGTTTGTATGGAGTACAGATTAATTAATTCATGTGCCATATGGATTGATGTTCTATTATTTCAGATCATCAGGCATGCTGAAAGTTGGAGTATCTCTGCTCTTGAAGCAGTTGGTCAAATATTCAAACTGGGCTCAGTAGAGGTTGACGAGTAAGCTTTGAAGTGAGCTTTTGTATGTAAATATTAATTTCCTTGGAAACTTAAGTCGCCGTGAGAGTGTGTACTACCTTAAAAGCTTGTGGTGTTTCGTTGCTCACAAAACATTAATGTTTATTACTCACAGAACCAAACGATGCCACCGACACTTAGATAGGAGCAGAGGCAACCAGATTCGCAAATGGAACCAATAGGAGGCAAGCAAAATGTTACAAGTACCGACTGCAGGTGCACTCATTTCACATTGTCAGAATACGGTCCCTTCAAATAAGTGAGACGAGGAGACAATGATGTATAAAAAGACAATACACGTGAGAAGGGAGCGAAGGAGTCCATTCTAATTTTAGAGTTGTAAACTATTGGTCGCGAAAAGACCCAACCCAACCCACACACACTCTTAGAAGGCATCATTTGGTAGGGAGGTTTGGATTTAGGCTGTGAGTGAGAAGGCAGAGATAGAAACTAAATAGTCCGAAGTGTACCTGATTTAGTCGGAGACGGACAGGTGGTAAAACTGCGTGCCGGATCGAGTCGGAAGTATGCCTGCTGGGGCCTGTGGATCACATCACGTGCTACCGTGGCCCACTCTCCCAGCCGGTGGGCGCGGGCATCGCGCAGCAACGAGCGGGCAGTCGAACGTGCGGAGTGATGGACCGGCCTTGGAATGCCGCGCCCGCTAGTCTCCGTTGCCGCACCCACGCCTAGCACTCCATGTGCCCCGTTCTCTCTCTCTAGCAACGCTAAGAAGAAGAGCAGGAGGGAGGAGGAGGAGATGGAAGGAGCCCTTGTTTTCTTCCTTTCTTTTTTTTTTCTTTTCTTTCTACTGTTACTCTCTCTCTCTCTCTCTCTCACCAAACGCGAAGCCCTCGGCAGGAGAACAGTCATCCTCTCTCAACAGTAAGACCTCGGCGAGAGATAAGTACTCTCTCTCTCTCTCTGTCTCTCTCTTTCTCTCTGTGGTGGCAGGCCGGCAAGCTGGACTGCTTTGGACGTACCCGGATGAGACAGCCAGCAGGAGATGAGTTATTTGGCGTCGTTTATGAAGAAAGAGTCAGCAGCAGGAGCAGCAACATGCACCCAAGATCCGAATCGATTCGTCCTTGTTGGAAGGGAGAAATCATATTAGTTTTCACTACCACACAAGCTAACATATTTCGTGATAATATATTCTCATAAAGAGAAAACAATTCGTGATCATGATAAGCCATATGTTTATTCATAGATATGCATACTTATCCAAAATATAAATGTGTTTTGATTTCAGAACCCCTGTAGTAATCTAATATAATTTTTACTAGTTTATAAACCAAGATTTTGAACCATATAAACCATCATTATGTTTTAGGTATAAATTTATAAGATTAGAATCCTAACCCCCTCAATCTAAAATTGGTCGGTTGTTCTTCACAACATTAAAATAGTTAGCAAAAGGTTCAAAGAATTTAATTATTGACTTATTTCGTGAATGATAAAAAAATATGATGATAAGTTTAACAAAGGGGATTACTCATATTACATTTTGCAAAGATCCAATAAAATATTTTTTTTACTCATTTAATGAATTGAGTTTTTTTAAATTTTATTTTTAAAAGAATTATTAATAACATCTGATGAATGACACTAACTCCCGTTAATAGTATTAAGAGAGTGATGTGAACAGTCCAATTCATGTAGATGAAGAGCTCAGATTGGACTGAAGCAATCTCAATATATCATTATACTACTAAAGCATAATATTATAATATATATATATATATAAAGAAAAGCTTAAGGTGGTCAGAACACGCAACGGAGAAAAGCCCAAAGTGTCACAAGTAATAGCTTGTAGGAATCACTTGATAATGACTAATGGTTACCTCATTTACTCGCTAGTATACTTTTAACTCTGTATTATTCCATCCATTAATGAAGACGAGTATTGATTGCATAAGCCAAATCTATCCGCATTATTATTAACTGCACTGTGATCGCCACAAATCTAGTTTTGTGCATGCCATGTTGTGGAGTAATTAAGTTACTTTATCCAATATATTCAAGTAAAAAAGGTTTTCTCTCGATTATTTAACGGATTATTGTGAAAATTGTTTTTGGATATTTCACTGTTCAAATTATCATTGATGGGATAATTTTTTTATATTGGCTGCAGAAGAAAATTACTCATATATTTTTATCTAATACTATCAAAGGTAAAACCTGAACATCCAAAGCATAAACAATTTCCCTGAGAGTATTATTATGTGATGATGAGCATTACACAGTGAAAGACATCATCAGACTTTCAATTTCTGAGTTAAATGACAATTAATCATCTCGATTACAGAGTGAAAGGGTTGATGAGAGTTTGACTAGAAACAGCTATGGAGGAGGATTCTTCTGTTGCCCATTACAAAAATGACTAAAATCTTGGGATGTGTTTTCCTGTCATTAAAAAAACACACTTTGGTATGTGGATAGATGTTTAATAGAGAGAGAAAAGAATAAAAAAAACATGAAAAAGGAGAGAGAATAAAAAGAATGGGATGTTAAAATAGAAGACTCCATCTGTCCTTGTTTCGTCCTTTGGGATGACCTCCCTCTCTCTCTCTCTCTCTCTCTCTCTCTCT